ATGAGGTCGCTGTAAAAGTGAGTATAGACAGAGAAGAGAAGAGGTCCAAGGATGGAGCTATTAAGAGATAGGAAGAAGAAAACTTTGTGATGAAGTGATGGGTGAAAAGAATTATCTCTTCTCTTTCAGAGATAGAAAATTCAGAATCCTTTTCAAGGTACCCCAACAAACTACCATTGGCCAGTTACCACCTCAGACCACCTATGTTCCTCAACCAGTGATTGGTCTACCATTCAGAGACATTCACAGAGAGACCATTCCTACTCTAATAGAAACCTTCTGACATTACTTCACTCAGTGAGGAGGTGAGGAATGGAGCGAGGGGGTCCTTGAAGAATGTTCTAATGAGTCTCTTCCCTTGATACCTCAACTGACTTGCTCCTTCATAGCTGGTGAAATGGGAACAGGTGATGTCAACACAAGGTGTTTGGAGTAAGGCTCAAAGCAACAGCAGGACTCCACTCCCATGAATATTAATAACTGAAGAGAATTTGCATAGGGTAAGGATTTATTGAACACACAAGATGGCACTAAGGGGATCGAATTAGGTTTTGATGCTATGTAACAAATTACCCAAAACTTCGTGGTTTAAAACAACATTCATTTATTATTTCACAGTTTCTACAGGTTACGAGTTCAGGCATAGCTCAGTTTGGCTCTCTTCTCAGAATTTTACAAGGCTAAAATCAGTGTTACCAAGGCCTACATTCTCCTCTGAATGATCAACTAGGGATGGATCCATTTCTAAACTCCCTCAGGTTGTTGGCAAAGTTAATTAGCTTGCCATTGTAGAATTCATGAAAATTGCTCCTTCAAAGCCAGTGATGGAGAATCTCTGATGCTTCTAGTCTCTCTTCAGAGAAGGCCTAAGCCCTCTCCTAAGAGTTTACATGATTAGGTCAGGTCCAACTAGTATAATCTCCCTTTCAATTAACTCAAAGTCAGCTGATTAGGGACCTAATTACATCTGCAATCCTTTCACCTTTGCCATAGAATGTAATACAATTGTGGATGTGTTAGTGCAACACCATTGCCATATTCAAGTGGCTAGAAACAAGGCAAAGGTTCTGTCCACATTCAAGGGAAGAGGATTATACAGAGCTTTATACCAGGGGTTAGAGATCACGGAGGTCATCTTAGAATTTGCCTACCACAGTGATGGTCCAAGATGCTAAACATTTATGTTAAATTCAAATGGAAATATTGACCCTAAAAACATCACATTTTTAGGTAACAGTAAATTTTGGCTGAATAATCTTCTCTGGGAGAAAAAAATGAAGAAAATTCACAGCCGGACTTCAGAAACTAGCTTCACCAGACTTACACAAAAAATATATCAGAAACTGTATGATTTTTAATAAAATATAATAGCTATATAGTTATATTTATAAAACTATGTCACAATCTAATTGATCTTTAATATAAACAGTGATCCATCTAATACTGAAACAATAAGCATCATATTTCTTTTGGATGTTAAAGGACTAAGTTTTGAAAAAAAAAAAAGTTATTCTATACTATAGAACCAGTAGTAGGAAGACATGTATGATAAAAGGAAGAAAATTTCAAAAAGACTCTTAAAATACAAAGTAGGTAGCAGTACTAAGATAATTTATTCTTGAGTACATATTTTCATCTGGTTTCTGAATATAACCATTCGGCATCCTTACAAATATTGCTACAGATCATTCCAGTCCTGTGCAGTTGAAGTACTTGGGGTAGTTTTTAAAATGATCTCACATATCAGAGTTATTTTTACAAATATGTATACGTGCATATTCTATCCTGATCTAGGGAAATTCCTTTGGTCTGTCATTGGATAGCAACATCCCCTAGGACTAATAAGTGTTTATGAAATTAATCATCTGTGTTCAATCATCATCAACATATAACTGTAATCTGACTGTAGTGAAATGGCAGCCTCCACTTTCAGCCAAGAGGACCACTTTGGAAGATAATCACTGATGAAACATTCTAGGTAGACTCAGCAATGAGGGGAAATGATATAACACATCTGAGTCAGAAAGTATGACACGTGAATATTTTTGAATACTAGAAAGCTAGGCTTATCTCACAGAGAACAACCCCACAACACTTGAACAAATTACCTTCCCATGAGGCCAAATACGGCATGAAATACAGTTTTAGAGTGAGGGACTATGCCTATATTAAGAAATAAGCACTTTATACCACATTTTCACTGTATATAGTTGACTTGGGAGGGGCATTATTAGGGCCATGGTTCATTTGAATTGGCATAAACAATACACGGGTTCTACTGTCCTACAGCTTCCGTTCAGATGACTAAAGTCATGGGACTTTCAGCATAGCTAGCTGACAGTGCACACTATTTTGTCCCAAAATCCAATCCAAGCATGGGCATACCAATTAGATGGCAAGCACTTTAAAGGCAAAGGATCAGGAATTGTATAGTTCTTGGTATACAGTACGACATCAAAGAAACATTTTTGAATTAAAGTTACAGGTGTAATATCTTAGAGAAGATTCATGCACTGCACAGGACTGCAGGATCCTGAGATCTCGTTCAGCTCTCAGATTCTATTCAACTTAATAAACACTGACTGTTCTGTTAAATGCAGAAATTGTACGAGATGCTGAGAACACCACATTCATGAAGTCACAGTCCCTGCTATCAAGAAACTCACACAATTCCCTAATTCTTTGTGAGCCTGCTGTGATCACATTTTCTTTCAAAGAACCTGTAAGAAATACCTAGTGGATAGAAACTTGGGAGTTTCACAGAACACAGTTCAACAATTTCCAAATGATGACTCAGGCCATACTGTATAATTCATGTTTTGTTTGCACAACTGAAAGTATTTCAGCACCCTCCAAAAATTCAATTTTAAGGGATTCTTTAACAAAGTCATCACATGTTAGGATTTAGGGCACAGATATGAAATACACATGCATCCTTGGGTAAATTATAAATTGGCCACAACCATTCCTTTACTCAAACGTTGCCCCTTGCTGACAATGCAGTTAAGGATTAAGTGCAAAATGTCAGCTCAAATAAATGAGCCAGAAAACCGACATATCACTTTTCTTTTCCACTAAATTAGGATCAAGAGACCTGGAGAATATTTTGTCTAGAATGATACAAACATTCAGGTGCAAAAACTCCCATGCACCTTTGCAAAAAATTACTTCTTTGACCTCTGTATATACAGAGACCTTGGTAATGCAAGCAAGGTTTTGAATGAGAATGTATGGGAGGCGTTTTCACCACTTTTGGTGACTTCAAAAGGTTTAAGACATGTTTTTGCATTTATTGCATATACTCATAAAACAAAGGTAAGAACTTTCAACTTATTAAGTCAAAGTCTATATACTGAAGTTTGCCTCTCAAAAATGTGTAACTTCTGCTTGCTTTCCACCCCCATGTTGCCATTATCTCAAAGGTGAAATTTTAGCATATGACTAAAGGGTCCTATAGCTGCAGCTTCATGATTCAGCATCTAATATCAATAATTCACAGTGAGATCATAGGCTCTCTGTGGAAGGTAGTGACATACTTGCCTTATGAAAGGAAGCTTAGGGCATATTGAGAGTATTTTGAATTTAGACGTGTGTGGATGTCAGACATTTGTCTCTTAGCTGGTGCGGTGCAGAAGGATCCTCCTTTGGGAAAGCTCTCTGAGAAAGGTGAATCTGCAAGGCTAGGATACACACATCTGGTAACCAGCTCCTCGCGAACACGGTTTTCCAGAGTTCCCCTCGGCAGGTGGGAAGGCTTTCGGCTTTGTGTGGAAAAGATTCCAACTTGGTTCCCTGCCATCACCAAACACAAATGTGTTGATTTTTCTTTTTTGAGCTTCCAACCCTTGCAACCTTCCAAAAATAAATCAAACCAGCCATCAGGGCACCGAAATAATACTACTACTAATAAGCAGCTTTGCCTAGACTTACATAAACAACACTTCTGAGGTAAACTTTGCCCCAGAGGTCTGAAACACTCTTTTTATGTAACCTGCTTACTAATAATTACTAGACTTGGGTGCATTCGCCCTGGAAATACATTTTAATAGCAACCCCTAAAAACAAAGGACATGAAACTACCATAAAAAATGTGCACCAACTAGAAAAACACTTGGCAGCCTGCTCCGGCCTCAAGTGGAAGACACCCCCTCTCCCCCGCCGCGGGGAAGACCCCCCACCTTCCTAACCGCCACTCCAACAGGGTAAGAGTCTGCTCGCGACCCCGCCCTCCCCGATCCCTGTACCGCCCCCGCCCCCTAAGCTCGCCTTCCGCCTGGCTCCACCCCCTTCCGCTCCTCTCCCCACGGTTCCAGGGGCTAGGGTCAAATTGTCGACGCAGGCTTATTTGCATAACCCAATGGCTGTGCATATGCAAATGAGGCGGGTGGTGGTTGGCTGGAGGTTAGCCGGATAACTCCGGCGAGCGGGGCCTTTGTCCTTCAGTGGCTGTGAGGCAGCTGCGGGTAGGGAGGCTAGGGGTGGTGGCGGGCGAGCGTGTGGGGCGGGAGGATCGGCTGGACGGAGCTGCGGCGGCGGGCGCTGGAGGAGTCTGTGAGGGAGTGCAGAGAGCAGGCGCCCGAGCGCCCACAGTGGCAGGAGCAGCCGGCACGCCGCTCTCTCTCTGTGGGGGACCCGCAGTTGCAATATGACTTTGGAGGAATTCTCGGCTGGAGAGCAGAAGACTGAAAGGTAAGGCGGCCAGAGCCTCTCCCGGAACTCTTTCTCGCCTGCACTGCGCGCACCCCAGCGCGTCCCGGCTGTGCAAGATTTGCCGGGGAGCGAGCGGTTAAAAGTTTGCAGAGGCACCTCCCGCCGGTCTCTCTTGGGAACCTTCCCAGAGGCGCCGGTGGACGGAAGGAGCGTGCCCCCTAACCCGGCCGAGCCCCTCTGGGCCTTGGCAAAGGGCAGAAGGGACCGTCCCTGCCCCTGCGGCTCTTGCGGCTGGCAGCCTGTGGCTGCGCCCAGAGCCAGGGACTGACTGGCAGCACCCGCGGGGGAGGGTGGCGGGTGGCCCTGTCGGGGCTTTTCGCAGGCCTCCTGGCCTCTGGGCTTGCGAGGGATCACGGGGGTGCGGCGTGCGGGTGACAGAGGCGGGGGAGGCTTGGGGTTTGCAGAAAACCCAGCGGCGCGGTGGCGCACGGACTCGGGAGGAAGGGTCGCGGTGCCGGGTGAGGAGGGGGCGGCGATGGCCCCAAAGGGACCTGGGCTGACGGGACCCCCTTTGCTCTCGCTCGCGGATAGGATGGATAAGGTGGGCGATGCCCTCGAGGAAGTGCTCAGCAAAGCCCTGAGTCAGCGCACCATCACCGTCGGGGTGTACGAGGCGGCCAAGCTGCTCAACGTGTAAGTGGGGCCCTCTCGCGTCCCCCGTGCCCCCCTCGCGTCCCCCGTGCCCCCCCCCTTCCCGCCCCAGCCCGGAGGCGACCTCGCGGAGAAACCCTCGCCCTGCGGCGCAGTTTGCTGAGGCTTCCCATCTGGCTCGCGGCCTCCTGCCCGGGAGGTGGGCTGGGGGGAGCGGGCAGGCCGGGGCGCGATCTCGGGGCCCCGGCGGGTGTTGCGGGCGTCTGCGCAGACGGGTGGTGCCTCTGCGCTCACCCGCCCCTCCCGCTGCCTTCAGCGACCCCGATAACGTGGTGCTGTGTCTGCTGGCTGCGGACGAGGACGACGACAGGGATGTGGCTCTGCAGATCCACTTCACCCTGATCCAGGCGTTCTGCTGCGAGAACGACATCAACATCCTGCGCGTCAGCAACCCGGGCCGACTGGCCGAGCTCCTGCTCCTGGAGACGGACGCCAGCCCAGCCTCGAGCGAGGGCGCCGAGCAGCCCCCGGACCTGCACTGCGTCCTGGTGACGGTAAGCGAAAGGGGTCTGCAGGCCGGTCCGAGTTAAGAGTCCTGGAGGAAGTGAGCCGAGGGTTGAGAGTCGCCTGACTGCAGATCTGCAATGAGGGGGAGGGCTGGAGCGTGGCTGCCTTTGCTCCATTAGAGCGTGTGGCTGGACTTTCAGCCGAGATGTGCTGGTTTCATCATCAGGATTTTCTCTGGTACAGAACATGTCTAAGCACGTTGGAGGCTGCCAGCAGCGGAAGAGATCCTTGTGAGTCAGCACTGTCAGCCCAGCTACTCCCTACCTACATCTGTACTACCTCCCGTGACTAATTCCTTTAGTAGGGCAGATTAGATAAAGCCAAATAAATTCCTGGCTCACCCTCATTAAGGAGTCAGCTTCATTCTCCACCACTCAAAGTTAAAAATAGAAATGGTGTAGGAGACAGACCTTATTAATTCCCTAGAAATACATTAAGAGGGTGGAGTGAGAATTTTTTTCTTTGCAATTGTGCCTTTTTTAATGGACACTTTTTTCTGATAAAAGCCTTTGATAGGTAAATTACCTGTGTTTCCAAAGGTAAATATGATAGCTTTGTCTTTACAGTTCACTACCTTTTGGCTGGTCTAGTTAAGTGGCAGCTCAATCATTTTGCTACTCCGGAAAATTACTACTCTGTCTTTAGGGAGGACATCAGGTGGCAGCTCTTGTTAACTATTACACAGCTCTCATCTCATTGTACACAGAGCATGGAAATATGTCTCAGAGCTGTTTCACTCAGGTAGGTCTCTTACACAGGACAAACCTGTGAATGATACTGTCATGCAAAACTAAATAAGTCTCATGCAACCATATGTGTATGGCTTGGAGGGTTGTATGTGTTCATCCTTTCAGAGTATGGGTTAGTGGAGAATTACCCTTAATGATTCTGAAGGAAACCAGCTACCTAGAAGAAAGTTCATTTTTTACGGTTGTAACTAGTCTCTATGTCACACAGCTAAAGTATAGAATGTTCAAGAGGAAGTTGTCTTCCTCTTGACATGAGTCCCCTCTTATTTGGAACATTAGCAGATGCTGATTTTTTTAAATAGTAAGTTTATTTTTCTCATTTCGTTTCCAGAATCCACATTCATCACAGTGGAAGGATCCTGCCCTAAGTCAACTTATTTGTTTTTGCCGGGAAAGTCGCTACATGGATCAGTGGGTTCCAGTGATTAATCTCCCTGAACGGTGATGGCATCTGAATGAAAATAACTGAACCAAATTGCACTGAAGTTTTGAAATACCTTTGTAGTTACTCAAGCAGTTACTCCCTACACTGATGCAAGGATTACAGAAACTGATGTCAAGGGGCTGAGTGAGTTCAACTACATGTTCCGGGGGCCAGAGCAAGATGACTCTGCAGATGGAAAGAGGTGAAAATGAAGAAGGAAGGTGTGTTGCAACAAATACAAGTCAAAAGGAACAGAAATTTACAAAGAACCATGCAGGAAGGAAAACAAACTATGTATTAATTTAGGATGGTTGAGTTACATTTACATAAACCAAATGTGCTTTGTTAAAGTTCAAATGTGCTGCAGTAGTTTGGGTATTTTTGGTTTATATGCCCTCAAGTAAAAGAAAAGCAGAAAGGGTTAATCATATTTTAAAACCATATTTTATTGTATTTTGATGAGATGTTAAATTCTCAAAGTTTTATTATAAATTGTACTAAGTTATTTTATGACATGAAAAGTTATTTATGCTATAAATTTTTTGAAACACAATACCTACAATAAACTGGTATGGAATAATTGCATCATTTCTGAATGTGTGCTTTTGTTTCTTTTAACTTGGAATGTTTCTTAAATTTTTTTATATGGAAAAATTAAAAACCCTTCTGGAATCATGTATCTACAGTATATGTGTCTATCTCTCTATATAGGTAGAGATCTGCATGTGTCATGTATCTGTATTTTTTCCACTTTTACGCATTTGGGCTGGACATGGCATAATTTTATTTCTTAGTCTTTATTTAGACAGACATCTTACTGGTGCCTTACTCTACGCTATGTCCAAAGTACAAAAGCCAAAGGTCATTTAAGAAGCCTTGGGTTTGCAGTTCTGCAAAGAAGTGTTTGAGATTTCACTTGCAACATTGGAATAATTACCATTCAGTGACATTAATGTCATAGTAAGAATATATGCAGAATGCTAAGGAAGCAAAAGTGACCAAAGTTACCTGCAAGAGCAGGTCATTTTACATGGGTCTTCGAACTCGAGTTTCACTTCCCCAGCTAGAGAGGAAAAGGATGTTGCTGGCAGTGACCCTGGTTTGTGCAAAGGCGGGTTCCCTGAAAGACCCACCCTGGTTCAGGGAACAAAGGGTGATTCTGTGTGCCTCTGGGGTGCAAGAGAAGGGAGAGATAAGGTGGAAAAAGGGGGTGGGGATTAGGCCCAGACTCTGAAGGGCATTAGGGCTTCCTACTGTAAACTCTGGGGATTCGGCAGAGGCCTTCACAAGGGGAGTGACGTGATCAGTGTTCTGGGAAGATAACTTCAGGACCCATGAAAGAGAGATTACTGGGATAAGAGGCTGGAGGTGACGCCAATCAGGAAGTGACTGGACCAGGCCAAGGCTGTGCAGTTTGCAGACCATGTTTAAGGAACAAACAGGAAAGTGGCCTGGCAAAGAATTCCGGTGCCCCTCTTCTCTCTAGAGCTGTATGTCTTCCAGCTGCATGTTTCCGCTGTGGTTTCAAGGGGTCTGGTTGGATTCGATGAGAGAGATGGAAGAAAAGAGCAAAAATGAAAGGCTTTAGCAGAACAATCCCCTCTTATTTGGAACAGTCACTTGATAATTAACTGTAACAATCTCCTCTAGGTATATAGCCAAAGAAAGCAAAAAATGCCTACTGAGGAGATGCCTAACATAGATTTTTTTTTTCTTTTTTTTTCTTTCTTTTTTTTGGCCTATTTGGCAAATGGCACCCCTCCCCCATGGCTCCCCCCACCATGTGTCTTCTATCCTTGTCATGACTACAGGTCATTAGGAAAAGATAGAAGTCAGGAGAGAAAACCAGACCAACTAATAGTAATACAAAGCTCCAAGTTTCTGCATCTTATGCATAACACAGGCCCAAGAAGCACTTCACCTCACAGTTAAGTTTCTGTTTTTCCACATCTGCCAGAAATGTGGGTTGTTAGGCCTTGTTTAAGCTCATTGTATTTTATTCAAGCTGGTGCCTAATCCAAAACATAACTGGTGCTTAACCTTTGTTTTACCAAAAGATGGAGAGCAGTGGGTTTTGAATAGAATGTTCTTACCTTCTTAGTAAGGATTTTCAATCCTCTTCCATAGCTGCTTGACTGAAAACCCTTGCAAAACTAAGTGAATTAAGCCAAGAACGCAGAGAAGAAAGCAGCCATATTGCTAGGTGTGAAGATCATCGTTAGTTCCTCTGCATCTCGTTCCCCTCAGCTATAAAATGGAGGTAAAATGACCCAGAATTGTCACTCTACAAAATGTCTTTGACGATTCTACAATTGTCTTCTGCAAAACTATAAAACTAAAGCTAAGGGCTAATGTCTGCTTCATAATGGTAACCCAGGATTTAGCACACTTCTCAGCAAGCAGTAGGTATTGAATTAATACTTGTTGGCTCGATGAATGAGTTAGAAATAATGAATGCAAATGATCTGGCACGTGATGGGTGCTCAGTACAGTCTATTCCTAAAATGCAGGTGAAGGCAATCGAGTTTCTCTGATGCTTTAAAATGCAATATAAATTTATTAATTTTGAGAAAGGAGTTTCAAACCTTTCTTCTATATTCATAGTGCTTAGAGATGGGAAGTGGTAGTATCCATTCTTTAGATTGTTCTGTTTCAGTAAGAGCCCAATAATTAATGCAAAACTGTTATCTGGGGTTTTAAGTTGTAACTTTTGCTTTTCTTTCCTGACTGAACATAACACAAAGTTAACACGGCATTGAAAAACCCAACCGTGAAGCAGTTAATTGTAAACAAGTGTGCAATTATCTGGGCAACTTCTACCTCTAATTGATGTTAATATTTTTCAGTCATTGCCTTAAATGCTATTAAGCCTACTTGTTGCAAGTAGGTGGAAATGTTACAACAAGAACAAAAATCCCTTCATCTACTAAGGTGTGTTGTATTTGGAAAATACCTATTTTTCCACCGGCAACTTCACCCCAGTGTTGTAAATACCATTGCCTCCTCCTTTTACAATTAACCAAGGCCTTAGTAAGTTAAACTTCTATAATAAAAGGACTCATGAAGATAACTAATCTCCTGTGATACATATATTATTTACCAATTAAATAAAAAGGGTTCTTTCTAGGAAAGAGCATCTGTATACTATCAGCTGGAAGCATTTCCAAAGCATCTTTTGCGATGCTTTACTGTAACCCTTGTAAAATCCTGGTTTCCTCAATTTTCAACTATGTACGTTAAATTTTATTCTTTTCCATGTGGTAAAAGGTTGCAAGCAGTGAGATGTGTTTCTTTCAAATGAACCAGACTCTCAGTGGCATGATTTAACATGGGGCCATCATCCCTCAAATGGAATTGAAGCTTTTTTCTTTCTTTTTAACAATCCTTAGGAAAACACAAGAAACTCTGTGAAAAGGTCATATTCATGAAAACCACCAAGAAATATGTAGTGAGTGCTTACTATGGGCAAGGAGCTATGCTGGTTATATTGAAGTCTGCAAAAATAAATCAGTCCATCAATCAATCAATCAATCAATCAGGCAACTTCTCTAGCCTCAGGGAGTCCCAAGCAATGAGACATGGACATCAGTAGATATAATCCAAAGCAAAAAATGCCCAGTAACAGATGAAAGGCCCAGAGAACTGCTAATGGGAGTTCAAATCTTAGAAATCTCTGGAGGGCATAGGGGATGGCAAAGGAAGGCAAGGTAGGAAGCTCTTTGATCCGAAGTGAGCATTGTATTTTGCAAACCACAGAAATTAGTTAATTGATTGACAATTGAATATAATTCTGCTAGGAGCTATAGAGATTACATAAGATGTAGCCAGTGGGAGCATTTGTCCTTAAGTTTATAATCAAATAAGAAATCAAGATCAGCACATTTATTCCTTTAACACTATTTATTGAAAGGGTGTCCCTGGCACTGTGTTAGGTCCTGGGGCTACAAAAGTGGAAAAGCAAGGTCTCTGCCTTTAGTGGAAATGCCTGACATCTGCGATATGGAGTGGTAAGTGGTGATGTGTTATATTCGAGGCGTAAGTGTTCCTGGGGGACAGGAAGCTTTGCCAGATCAGTGAAACTTGAAGGATAAAGAGCTCTGCCAGGGGACAGTGAAGAACATTTGTTCCAGAAGGGGGGGGACTGCGGTTCTGAAATTGTGAATTCAAGGCATGTTTGAGGCTAGCTTTGGAGGGCAACCATAACACACATAGGGTCTATTACGTGCTGAGCACTGTTCTAAGTTCTTTATGGTAACACATTAGGATTCACAATAACTCTGTGGAAGTAGGTACTATTGCTGCCATTTGGAAGCCAAAGAGCTGGACACACAGAGAGATAACTTTGCCTCCAGTCATACTGTTAGTAAGTAGCAACTCCAGGATGCAAATTGAGGCAGTCTGGCTCCAGGAACCATATTTTCCAATGATAGGTGATGAAGTGGGAAGGGTGGTAGGAACAAGACCAGGAAGGGTCCTACAAGTCACCCTTTTTTAAATTAGGTGATAGAAAATCATTTAGGGGCTCCTGCCCGGCTCAGTTGGTAGAGCATGTGACTCTTGATCTTGGGGTCATGAGTTTGAGCCCCATATTGGGTGCAGAGATTACTTACCAAAATGATTTTTAAACCCATTTAAAAATAACCATTAACACTGAGGGAAGAGACAGAGTGCTATCACTAGTGTGAGAGGCAGGGAAAAGATGCTATGGCTCACAAAGTCCTAATGCAAAAACTCAGCTAAGAGAAACTTGGCTTGCTGAGAGGAGGCTCCTCTCTTCCACAAAGATTTCCTGTTTGCTACAGACCTCACCCCTCCCACTTGTCAACTCAAGCCTGCTGGACTCACTTAGGGTTCCCGTGGTAATCCTTTTAAGTATGTGGGGGCCACCCTTCACCCCAAACAATTCACATCTCTCAGTCTGGGGCTTAGAATTTTCCTGTGTAAAGGGAGGTGTTTGCACTATCAGAATTTCTCAATTGTTCTCATACTAATAAAGACCTACAGTGGTTTGTTTAAAAATTCAGCTTCAAGACCCTTCCCTGGGGCTTCAGATTAAGTGGGAGCTGAGATAAGGTTCAGAACTTTTTTAACAAGCACCTCAGGTAATTCTTACCCGGGAATTTTGAGAAGCACTCTTGGCCTTCTTCCAGGAGAATTTCAGCAGAATGATTCTACCAATTTGGGGGGGGAAGGGGGAGGAGAAGCTCACATGTGATCAGTTTCCAGCCTCCCTGATGCGGCTGGCCAGGAGCTGAAAAATGCACATTTCTCTGCAAAGGCTGAATTATTTTCAGGGAAGAGATATAACCAGAAATACTTGCTACCTGTGGACAGAGTAAGAATTTACCAGTTTACTACGGTGTTTATTGCATAAGTTACAATGACTCCGAGAGGCAGAAAGAGTCCACACACAGAACGGCTCTCAGCATGCAGCCTTGAAATGGCCGACCAGCAGACCTGTTCGTTAGGTGCTGGGTGCAGTGCTGAGCCCTTTGGGCGAGACAAGGAAGAACTCGAACCGCATGATCAAAACAACCGGAGTACGGCTCAGTGTCAGGCACAGGTAGGAGTTTGGGAAGTGAATT